CACCCTCATCCATCCTTGTCAGTCCAGGGGCCCAGGCACTGCTGGGGCTGCTGGGCAGGCAGTTCTCACTTGCAAATGAGTGGGACCCTCAGTCCTTCCATCAACATCCTCACGTCAGCTGACCCTGTGCGCACCCCTAGGCAAGGCCTCTGAGCTGGGCATGTGACACCTCTTCCCACTCAGGCACCCTCCCCCTAGAACCCCCCACCCCATACCATCCTGGGGACACGCCCTGCTTCCCTCTCTGGCAAGTTCCTGCACAACCCTGAGACCACCTGATAGCCACCGTCTATCCTGCCCAACCTCCTCAGTCCTGCCAGTCCTGCCCAACCTCCCCAGAAGCACCAACAGCACCTCACCCCAGCCACGGCAGGTCTCTGCACCCCTCACCCCAGTCGCCACTCTCACATCTCACGAACAGAGACACTAGCTGCTTCCTCATGTTCCCTGTGCCCGTCCTGGGAGATCCCTGCCTTTAAACCCCAGCCACGAACTGCTGACCTCTGGTTTCCTCTTCCCTCCCCGGGCAAGAGGGGCAGAAGGGGCAGGACACACACTCCGGGCCACAGGCAGAGGCTTGGCCAGAGTCCTCCTCCCAGCAGTGCCTCCCTGGAGCTGTCTACCTCAACTCCTGATGCCAGAGGATCCCTCTGCGCTCCCCAAGCCCTTAAGACCCCAGCTCAGGGAATCTGGTCTCAGTCATCACTCCCAAGGGACTGCAGGGCCCCAGGACGGCACACATTCAGGCCCAGGAGAGCTCTCCCCATCTCAGAGCCTGCCCAGCGCGGGTGGAAATGGAATGTGGAAGAACCACATCCTCTGCAGCTCCCCCACAGTAAGAGCGAGGACTGAGGGGTGTGGATAAGGTTCCAGGAAGGGGGTGTAAGCACGGCAAGGTGGAAGAGCTCCGGGCGGGTCCATCTGCTCCTCACCTGCCTCAACCCCGCCTGCAGGGGAAGGCCGGTCCAGCCCCAGAAGGCCCAGCCCTCAGCCCACTTACAGAGCCCGCACTGTGCTCCTCCGGCAGGCCCCTCGCTGCCCACCAGAGCCATCATGACCCCAGCACAAGCTGCACATTCGTATTTGTTGAATGAATGAATGAACCCTTGCCAGCCCAGCCACTTGGTGGCTGAGGGCTTCAGGGCTCTCCCAGGGTCCCCTGAGGTCATTCAGCCACTCAGCAGCGTCCCAGCAGCAGCAGCAGCAGCAGCAGCGAGGATCCGCACATCATTGCCAGCGCTCTAAGGCGCGGGCGAGTCCCCGTGGGCGGCCACTCTGACCGCGCTTGGTCAGCCCTGAGCTCCGCTCGGGAGGAGCCGGCAGGTGTCTGCGGTGCTGGAAACACCACGGTGTGGGCGGCGGTTCCGATCCGCCGGGAAGGGCGGCTT